CCCTCTTCGCCAAGTTAGCCACCTCCACACTTCCTCTTCACCGTTCTCAGCCAGCATTGGCGGCCTTCCTGGATTCGTTTTTCCTTAGGATTTGCCACTTTCCTTTGATTTGTTTCTTTAGACTATTACATTCTCTTCCTTTAGATTCTGTTTCTCCCTTTTTTAGACTCCATTAATTTCTCTTTCTCTTTGATATTTCTTCTTTAGACTTATTCACTCTCCTCTTCCTTTGATGCTTGTTTCACCACTATTCCATACTTCCTTCCTTTTCAATGAAGCTTTTCATTACACTATGACTTTCCTTTGATTCAGCCTTTATCTATTATTCTTTCTTCAGACTTGTTTCTTTTCTTTGATTCCATATCTTTTCTTTGATTTGCATTTTCTTTTCTTTCAGGACATCACTCTTCCTTTGATTTGTTTCACACTTAATATTCTTGCCTTTGACTTTAAGTTTTCAGATGACTCATATTTTGTTTGAATAATACTTCTCTTTCAGAGAAGACTACATCTCTTGCTGATTTGTTTCTTTCTTTAGACGAGAACACTATTAATTCTCTTTCCTTTGATTTCTCTTCTTTCAGATCGCATATCTTTAAGTTTGGATTTGCTTCTCTTCTTTTCAGGACTATCTATTATCTCTTCTTCTTCTTGGATTTGCTTGTTTCTCAGACTTCCATATATACATTTTTTGAAACGATTTGCTTCTTCAGGAATTCCACACATTCTCTTCTCGACTCTGTTTCCTCTATTTCCGACGACACTTTCTGGATTGTTTCTTTTCTTCGATTTATATTCTCGCCTTTTCGCTCTGTTTTCCTTTCTTGTTTAGATTTCCTCTTCATTTTCCCTTTGATTTGTTTCCTCTTCGACTCTTACACTCTCTCTTCTGATTTGCCTTTCCTCTCTCTTCTTAGACTCCATCTCTCTTCTCCTTGATTTTGCATTTCAGACCTATTACATTTTTTCTGCTGGATTCTGCTTTTCCCCTTTCTTCGACTCATTATCCTTTTCCCTTAGACTGTTCTGTTTCACACTACCTATTATCTCTTTCCTCCTCCCTTGATTTGCTCTCTCTCTCTGGCTCTCATTATCTTGCTCGACTCTGTTTCCTTTCTTTCTTTTCTTTCAGACTCATTTTTTTTGGAAGCATAGAACTGTTTCCCCTTTCAGGGATTCCACATTCTTCCGCTGGATTTGCTTTCTTTCTTTCTTTCAGGACTCTATTATTAATTACTTTTTTCATTTGGTTGCTCATTTCTTTTCTTTTAGGATTTATTAATTCTCTCTTTCTCTTTCCCTTTCTAATGATTTGTTTTCTCTTTCTTTAGACTTCACTATTACATTCTTTACTTTTACTTGGTTTTTCTTTTTGCGTTATTGGGGATTTCTTCGCTTTTCTTTCGATATTTGTTTTCTTTTCTTTCAGACTTGATTTACATACTCTCCTTTCTTTGATATGTTTTCTTCTTTAGACGACTTGTTATCTCTTCCCTTTGATTTGCTTTTCTTTCAGACGACATTCTCTTCTGTTTCTTCTCTCTTTCAGATGACGATCGACTTCCATACAAATTTCTTTACTTTTTTTCATTTGGTAGCTTTCATTTTCCTTTGTTGGGGATTCTATTTCCTCTTCCGGATTTGCTTTGTGACGATATTCTCTTTCTTCTCGGATTTAAACGTTTTCTTTCAGGGATTTATTATTTTGTTCTAGTTTCCCTTTCAGACATATTCCAGCGTTGATATCTTTTCTTTAGATTTGCTTCTTTCCTTTCTTTCATTAATTTGACTTATTACATACATTCCTTCCTTTGATTTGCTTTCCTTTCTTTCAGACGCGTTCTATTATTATCTTGTTTCTAATTTGCTTTCTTTTCTTTTTAGACGATATTTATAGAATTGAATCTGTTTTCTTTTCGATCGACCATATTCGTCTTCACGATTTGATTTGCTTTCTTTTCGACGATAACTCTCCTTTCATTTCTTTTCATTTGACGGCTTCTCTTTCTCTTTTCTTTAGGATCGACATCACTCTTTCTGATTTGTTTTCTCTTTCTTTTTTGACCTATTATCTCATTTTTTTCCTTTTGTTTCCGGCTTTCTTTGTTAGATCACGTTCTCTCTCTTTCTTTCTTTCTGATTTTCTTTTCTTGGTTTTGTTGCTCATTTACTTTTGTTTCATCGAAAGCCGATTCCACGTTTTCCTTTAGAGTTCTTCTTTTCTTCTGTTTCTTTTAATTTGTTGTTTTCATTTGAGAGGATTTGTTGTGTTTATCTATTCAGGTTTTGCTGCACGAACGGTTGGGCACCGGCGGCGGGAAGAAGACGCTCGGCGGGCACCGGCGATTGCCGCAGCCCGCCGCCCGATGCCCCCGCCCGGCACCGTGGCCGCCACCGCTGCCGCCTCCGGCAGGCACTTCTGTTGCTTGCTCATGGTCAGCAGGGCGTCGGACCGACCCAGGGACCGTCATCGCGCCGGAGTGAGCACCGTCGAGGACCTCCAGGGGAGCCACCGTCCCACTATGGCGCTGTTGTGGGGCCACCGCGCAGGCAGTGAGTCACCCAGGCATGCCTGCACGGCCTCGCCTCTGGCTCTGAACTCCCCAGCTCTGGCTCCGCCCCCTGAGCGCTGGCCCCACCCCTTTAGGTATCTGGCTCTTCCTCTTTGGTCATATAATCCCGCCCCCCACCCCCCCCCCCTCGCCCCGAAGAAAGCTTTCTCCTTCAGAGCAGGGCACCCCAATGAGAGACAGTTTAGGCAGGGTTCTCTGCTTGAGGGTCACGCCCACCTGGAGTACCAATCTCTTTTACGGGGCCTGTTGGCCTAATCTCGCTGGCTCCAGGAGCCTCAGTTGGCCCCTTCTGTAAAATGGGATAAACAGAACTCAGATAAACAGAACCCAAATCTAGCCATCCCTAGGATGTACCATTTAAGTGAGTTAGTATATCCAGGGTGGGTTTTGTTTTATGTGTTTAATTTCTGGTATATGTTTCGGTTTTGCTTAAACCAGTTTGAGGTGGATGTTTGCCAGTTACAGCTGAAAGAGTCATGACAACAGAGATATTGGTACCTGGAGTGGAATCTTCCCCTCAAAACATGGGCCAAGAGTGGAAGATGGTTCTCCAAAAGAAAATCGAGGTTTCCCAATGCTGTTAATACAAAAAAACAATGATTGCCAACTATTGCCTTCCACGCTTGATGAGGAACCTGGCCCCCAAAAGGGAAATAACTTGGGCCATGGCTCTATTTTACCCTGAGGAAGTTCAAGGGCCTATCTGGAACTATATGAGTAGTGGTGGGGCTGGGGAAGATAGACAGTTTCCCAGGACCTGAGGCCAGGTGGTCAAACCTTGGGTGCAGACAAGCAAATACTGGAGATGGTAACTTATAATTACTGGTCAACGACTCACACCAGCCTGGAGGGCCTGGTGAGAATCCGAATCAGGACCCTGGGACAGCTGGTGTTTCACACTTAGCTACTGCATAATCTCAGAATCTTCCAACCCTACCGGATAGATGTGTGGCCTTCAGCTCCTCACTTAACCTCTGAGCTTGTACCCTCATCTAAGAATGGGAAAAAATTAATTTCTACTCCATAAAGTTGTAGTAACAATGAAAACAAAATGAAACATGTAGTGTTCATAGGAAAGCAGTCAAGAAATGGTCCCTTTTAGGTATTACATTGTGGAGCCGCGGAATGTTCTCAGTGTAACAGAGCATGTTAATAATAGTGTATTATAGTCATGATGTAAGCTTCCTTAGCCTCGGGGGTCTTCAAGTAGGGGCTGGCAGTCCCTTGTGTCTCTTTAGCCAGGAACTTGCACAAAAGGCTATCTCTTCAGGACCCTCAAGGACCTGAGCCATTGGGCAGGCCATAGGAGAAAAGATGACTCCCAGGCCACAAAGGTCACCTCTAGAGAGTCCTGTCCAATCACCAGCCTCACCATGAGAGGCCTGAAGCAACCAGTCTGTCAGAGCCAGAAAGGGCCTCCGAAATAATCCCAGGCTTTCAATTCGTTTCCCAGCAATTCCAAGCTTCCTATATAGAAGGGGATTAGGGGTGAGCAACTTGGTGGGAAGGAGAGATAAAGAGCTTAAACATTAATAGAAGCTGTGTTTTGAAGGCCCACTTTCTTTCTCCCTTAGTTATGTTTACTTAGGGTGGCTTTGGGGGCAGTAGAGGGTAATGCTGCTGATGGAGATTCTGGGCTGGGGCTAGAGCTCTTTCTCTAGGTCATCTTTGGCCTTGACCTGGGTTGTTACCTGATAGCTATGGTACCCTGGGCAAGTTGCTTTTCTCTGGGCCTGTTTCCTCATCAGTAAAAATTGAGCTAATCATTAGCCTCCCCGTCTTTACGCTGTTGTAAAGGTTAAATGAAATGCTGCATGTCAAGCGCCCGGCACATAGTAAGCACTCCATTAATGGAAGGGCGTTTTTGTGGTTCAGTAGCAGTAAACTGAGCCTCAGAAAGGAAGGGGACCTTGAATGAGACCCTGCCAGCACAGTGACAGAACCAGCGCTATTTCAAAGGCTCTTCCTTCAGGACAGAGGGACTCCAGCTCACCCACTTGGAGGGTCTCCTGCTCTTTATTCTGGCAGCTCTGACCTTTGCCGCAAATGTCACCCGGGCCCTGTAGGGAGCAGAGATTTATAGACTTTTTAAGTTTCTTCTTCTGCCCCTCTCTAGGCTCTGCAGATTAAACAAAAAACAAAACAAACAAAAAAAAACCCCTGCAAACACTGCCACTCCATTGGTGTCTTTATTCATACTTGTTGACATTTCCCATGGGGAACTGTTGAAGGAAGGTGGGGGAGGGCTGAGCGGGAGCCATGGCTTGGTTTTCCTCCAGCCAGTGGAGGAAGTGATGGGGTCAGGGACGTACTAAACAGAGTGAACAAGAGAACCATCACTATGTGGGCTGAGATGCATCATGGAGTGACTTCAGACAGCCTGAAGTCCTTCTGTCAAGAAATTCAAAGTGGAACAATCAAGTCGATCGAGAGAAAAGAACAAAGTGCATACAAAGCAAACTGCTAACGTAGAAGAGGTCCTAAGGCGTCCGGCAGTGAGAAGCCAGGTGTGCAGGGTGGCCACGTGACCATGCCCCTGTCCCACTGCCCCGTGCCAGGCTGGGCTGTCGGGCCACCAGTGCCCTCTTGCGACAGTCTCTCTCTGTTGGCTCCGAGGGTGCTGTAAGCCACAGAAAGTTGTGGAGGGAGAAAGAGCCCGAAGCGTGGCAGCACCAGGGCAGCCCAAGGCAGGGCTGCATTGAGAATATCAAAGCATCTCTTTGGGGGTGGCTCTGGAGGGCTGGTGGGGTATGGAAGGGGGATGAGGGCACCTGGCAGGGGTACAAGCAGCACCGTTCCTGGGGCACAGGGCAGAGCCACCCTTCAGAATCTTAAATTACCAGGTAGGGGTGAGAATGCTGATTAACTACAGAGCTGAAGGCTGCCAGGCCCTTCCGGGTCCTTCCCTGGCGCTCAGGGCCTGGTTTTGCAGAAGACATGGACGCGCGGGGCCTGGAGAAGCCAGAGACGGCTCAGCAGCCCAGCCAGTCGGATTTGATGCTTCCAAATTTCACGCTCTTCAGACTCTGGTTCTCCAACTTCAGGTAATACGCGCCCTTGAAGAAGTAGCTGTGACCTGGGACGAGACAAAAGGAGGTGGTGACCACCCCATCCTTGGACATTATAGCACATGAAAGGGTCCTGGGAGCCTCCCGTAGGGAAGAAGCCTTTAAACCAGAGAAGACCCCCCCACCCCGCCCCAACCTCTGAGGCCGGAGGAAGGGGAATGGCTGGGGAACTAAGCTCTCTTGAGTCCCTGTTTCTTCATCTGTAAAATGGGGGTGAAGATACGGACCTCTTAGACCTTTGGGCGAGGATTAAATCGGCTAATACGTGCTATTATTAATGTAAATAACCGTGCTCCACTGAGCACAGGCACAAACTAAGCACTTCCCAGAGGGGGCAAATGAGGAGGCTCCCAGGCCTTTCAGGCCGACAGCTGGCTATTTGGCTTACACAGATTCTGTGTTTTGTTTTGTTCTGAATGAGTTGCCAGCGTACAAACATCTGGAAATTTCACATGAAAATACACATTTCTTGCTCCCTTTTTTTTTTTT